GTGTGTGTGTGTGTGTGTGTGTGTGTGTGTGTGTGTGTGTGTGTGTGTGTGTGTGTGTGTGTGTGTGGAGTGAAGACTGTAACAAATTGCTCTCCCTCCCTGGAACTCTAGGTGTCTAAATCTCACAAGTCACTTTCTGGAGATTTTATTTTATTGCTTTTTTTTGTTTTGGTTTATCTAAATCTCAGTGATAATAGAACCAATAGGTCAAACTTGGAGAAATGCATTAATTCTCTCTTTAGCAAATTTGCTTTTATTGCTTTTATCTTTATTTTTAGTAATTTACAGTTTATCACTCATGGCAATATCTGAGATTCTATGCTAATATTGTTTCTTCTTTTTCGGCCTCATTTTTACGCAGGAATTTTATTGTAATATAGAAATGTGTAAAAAAAAATATTAATACTTCTTGCTATGAAATAGATGATGGTGACTTAGAGTACTTGTGCAACTTGTAGATTATTTTCAACTGAAAACATCATTTTTCAATCATGCTGTACTTGAAGAAATTGTATAATAACAGCACAGAGATATAAAGTAGCAACAGTTTGAAATTCAGAACAGAAACATGGATTGTAGCTTTATGACATGTAAATAGAAATAGATGGCATATTTATGCTTCAAGTTGGTGAAAATGCACAAGTTATTCCATAATAAAATAACTTTGTTAAAAAAGGTTTATGTGTGTATGTTTGTTTCTTGCAATCATGTGTTTATAAGCTGTAAATGGGAGAAATACATTTAAGAAATTGTTTTTTCATTAAAGCTGGCCTGTTACACTTGTCATGTATATTTTTATAATTGTGGATGTTCTCATAAATAATAATTTCCAAGGTTTCAAATAATGGGGTCAACATATATACAAGTAAACCATGTTATTCAAAAGTTCAAGCCTCAGACTGCTTTAAGCCCTCAGCTTGAAACAATTTTTCTACTCTTTGATTTGAGTTATCTTATCATTTTATGAAAATTTTAACTAAATATTAATCTAAAGTGAAAAACACTTTCGGTTAAATTAATATTCGACATTTGTTGAATAAAAAGGATTGCGTCATTATTCACTTTTAACTGTTCTTCATATATTTTATTGTCAAAGCAAATGGTTGCACAACTATTGTACAATTGCAATTAAACAAACTCTGATTACACGTGCTGAAGAGGCTGAGGAAATAAAATGCTTATTTTATAAAAGGCTTTATAAATGCCAAAAGGTGTAACTTAAATATTAAATATTTAACACGGGTACAGGTCTTTAATTTAATCTACAAAATACATTTAAAAAATCATAAAGCTGATTTTTTTTTTGTAAATGCTGAGGTCTAAGTAAAAACAACAACAACAACGAAAACAAAAAAAAGTTAGAGAAAGAAATCTTTCTTCTTGCGATCCCCCAAATCGGAAGTTTGTGAGTCGGACCATTTGGGAGGTCGGACGCGTTTCCGGGAGCTGTCAGCTGTGGGCACCCAACATATCCACTGCAATGAGTTTTGAGTGGCCGTGGCAGTACAATTTTCCACCGTTTTTCACGTGAGTCAGATGTTTCTCAGTATTTTTCAGAGCAGAGCTTGTGAACACGTAACTCAGTTTTCAGTATTTATTCATTTATGAGTAGGTGAGCGCTTATTTTCGTGCTAGCATCATGTTAGCACGCCAGCTAGCCAAACGAAACAGATTGCTAGGGAAGTGATTTTGCACTCACTGGCTTTCTGAAGTTTATTTAAAGTCTTTCTCGGTTTGTCTCAGTGGCTCGTTAAGACTAGACTTCAGGGGGCTATATTAAAACATTAACAGGCAAACAGTTCATCGTCGTGTGTTTGAATTTTGGGATTTCCACTGTTATCTCGAGTGAGCTTATTTAATGGGATGAGCTGCGAGATAGCGAGAACTCCACCTAGTTATCACCTAAAGACTTGCACGTTTTGGTGTAATAAAAGTCAGGAAGACCTCAGTGCCTAAATCCCTGTAAAACACTGCTGTCCCGATAAATCACCGGGAGAGCAACTTCCCGAAAGGGACATTTAAAGGGGCTGCTATTGTCTAGGCGGTCGAATATGATAGGGTAGGCTTGCAATAAAAGACTGGTTCTATACATGATATATAAAAATGACTTTTAACCCGTTACAATATGACAGATATTAGGAAAGCAGCACATGTGTATATACTTAAAAATGGAACACTTTGCTCTTATCTTAATCCCAGGTCAGTGTTAACATATCTGCCTATGGGTGCAGTTTGTCTTTTGTATTAAGTTTGTATTATGTTGCCAAACATTGCTCCTGCCTGCAAGAACACAAAATCAGGCAAAACGTTGGATTCTCATTTTAATCACTGTCCTTGCAATAAAAAGTCTTTAAGTAAAATCTGACCATCTACTGTCTTCTGCTTATTCTATATTACTGGCTTTTACTGGCTCAAAATAGGCTGGCAATTGAGTTTTTTCAGGTACATTGATCTAGCACCAATTTCAAACAACCATCACCTCAAGGCACTTTATATTATAAGGTAATGATGGTGTAATTTTGGAGAGAACATCCCAGTGATCCATTCCTTCCATATCCCTTCTGAACCCAAGCTAGGAGCTGTTTGCACAGGAGACGATACTGATAATTGAAGGCTCTGTCTTCTATTATACTTTTACAAACTCTAGGAACTGCAAGTAACCCTATAGTCTCAGAGCAAGGTGCTCTGTTGGCAGGATATGATGCAATGAGGCCTGTAACAGATGATCAGAGTTGTAACCAATGGACAGGTGGCTAAGGGCGGGCACAAAGACTGTGAATCAAACTGGCTGAAGTGGGCCCAAACTGATGAGTAGTTTTCCTTATAGCCAGTGTTTTCGCTCTAAAATATCAATAAATCATGAAACCACCTGTTTGCATAGTTTAAATGTGAAGAAGACTTTTGTTTTTAGAATGTCTCATATACCCCCTGTTTGTTTTGCACATCAATAGCACAGCTAAATTAAGAAGAAACTAAAATAAAAGCTGTCTCTGTGGGTAAACTGACAGATCTTTAAATATGGCAGATTTCTTGTAGACTTTGCTGTACCTGGAAAGCAGCCACCTCTCTTTTTAGCAGCAATACCTAGAACATGCAGGGGGGGAATCTAAAGAGGGGCATTGCATTTACTTAACTACACTTATTTTAAAGCTTAAATATATATAT